CTTTGGCTCTGGTCATGATCCCAGGGTCATGGGATCGAGTTCTGCATTGGGCTCCTTGTTTGGCAGAGAGCCTGCTTCTCGCTCTGTCCTCTTCCTGCTTCTCCCTCTGTCTGCCACTCCCCCTGCTTGTGGTTTCTCTCTCTCTGACAAATAAAATAAATAAAATCTTAAAAAGAAAATAAAATAACCTTTTCCATTTTCTTGAACAGGCATCTGATTCCCTATTTGGAAGCCATTTTTATTTTTTTTTATATATTCACCCAACAATGTATGCATCCCTTGGTAGAGTTTACTTTTTAGCTATAGAACACTGTCCTTCTCTAAAAAACCTAAGCTCAAATCCATAAATATAAGACTCTGAACACACAGGGACTTTGCTGGCTATTTGAGCCAAGTATGACATGAGATTGTTCTAGTATAAAAGCCAGGCTTCGTGGAGCAGTGTGGTCACATATTGGCTGGGGAAAGCTGTCTAGCATATAAATATTTCCATTTTATTCCAGCTGATTTACTGAATGGCCAGTGTTAGTATTTTAGGATACCTGTTTATGACAGCTTGCTTTGTGTGTTGAATAGTATTTGTCTATCTACAAGGAGTCACATTATAAAGATTTAGGGGGGGAAATATATTAATAAATAATAGCTACCCTTTTTAAAATTCCCCATGCCTGGCACCTTACTCTGGATGTTTTATATACTTTATTTTTTTTAAAGATTTTATTTATTTATTTGACAGAGAGACAGCGAGAGAGGGAACACAAGCATGGGGAGTGGGAGAGGGAGAAGCAGGCTTCCTGCTGAGTAGGAAGCCCGAGATGGGGCTCGATCCCAGAACCCTGGGATCATGACCTGAGCCGAAGGCAGCCACTTAACTGACTGAGCCACCCACATGCCCCTGCTTTATATACTTTATTGTGAGTCTTTCCATACCTCATGCAGGTTGTCTATTTCTCCATTTTGTAGATAAGGATACTAAATCTCAGAGAGGTGGATTAATTTGCCTAATATTCACTAGCTAGTAGGGTAGGTACTAGTAATCAAACCCAGGTCTGACTTATTTCAAGCCCCTTGTTCTTTGCTGTTCCATATTGTCCATGACAGTCATGTGAAGGAGACCATAGAATTATTTGCTTCATATGTTTAGGAAGAACTTTCTTTTTTCTTGATTTTTATTTTTTATTTTTTTATTTTTAAATAGGCTCCACGATGCCCATTGAGGGCCTTGAACTCACGATCCTGAGATCAAGACCTGAATTGATATAAAGGGTTAGGCCCTTAACTGACTGAGCCACTCAGGTGCCCATAGGAAGAACCTTTTGATACTAAGTACCATTCTGGAACATTTTAATTACTCTGGCAACTCTTACCTGTCTGCCACTACTGTCTTAATATTCTTCATAACCTCTTTATTGTGGACCAAGAAAAAAAGAAACCTTTGGTATCAAAATGCTTTTTTACACATATCTCAAATATCATGGTGCTAGCTGCCTTGTCATACTTGTCATATTTTTTACTTAGAGATTAATTTCTTTCATGTCCAGCTGGATGTGTAGTTGAAGATAGGTGTTCTGGATTGAGCGTAGTCTAGATTATTGCTGTCCAGTAGTACTTTTTTTTTTTTAAAGATTTTATTTATTGGAGAGAGACAGAGCCAGAGAGAGAGCATGAACGGAGCGGAGGGGAGGGACAGAGGCAGAAGCAGACTCCCTACTAAGCAGGGAGCCTGATGCAGGGCTCAGTCCCAGGACCCTGGGATCATGACCTGAGCCGACGCAGACGCTTAACCGTCTGACCCACCCAGGCGCCCCCAGTAGTACTTTCTGATAGAAATATCCCATATCTGTGCTGTCCAGTATGATAGCCGCTCGTTACATGGGGCTAGTGAGTGTTTGAAGTGTAGCTAGCATGACTGGAGAAATGAAATTATTATTTTATTTAATTTTGTTTAATTTAAATTCAGATAAAAATAGCCCAGGTAGCTGGTGGCTACTGTACTGCACAGCAGCACAGCTTCAGGTCGTAACTAATGCTTGTGTTTGGTGGGTAATGACAGAATTTGAAGAGATCCAGTAATTGGTAGTTTAAAAGTTGCTGATTTGTTTTCCAGCAGCATTAAATTTAGCGGGCATTCGTCTTAAGGCCATGGGACCAGAGTAGAACAGTTCATGTTTCCAAGACACTTTTTGATCATTCATGATCTCATTTGATGAATATTTCAGGTATGATATCATTTAGGACTTATGTCTGCGAATGGATCACAGAAGAAGAAAGGCTCAAGAACAAAACCATTTATAACTTCCTTGTGTAGGGTCTCCTTCTGTTGAAATGGACACCATTCTGGCCTGTTGGTGCTCAGGTTGCAACATGAGGGCCTGGATGGGAACCTGTTCTCATTGATTGAGATTGGAGAAATACGTTTCTCCCTTCACCTAGAATGTCCATTATTTTATTTTTTAGGTCTAAAGAGAGGGAAGTAGAGGCAATTTCTAAATTTAGCCATAGAGCTACAATAATTTGATAACCAACAAAAGAAAATGTAGTTTTCCTTTCTAATATGCCAAAATAAATCCTTAGGGCTTTGATTTTAGTTGTTTTGGAAAATACAACTCAGAACTCAGAAATATTCTATGTAAGATTAGTTTTTAAATTGATACATATCTTCTGGAGAAACTTTTGATTGAATTAAGTAGTAGATTTTATATGATATTTTGAAGAAAAATTTGTTTCCCTGGAGTCTTGGTATATTTGGTTTCATTTTGATTGGTCTTATGAAATAATTTGTAAAAGATACTAATTTTATTATGTGTCACTTGTGTCACTAAGCATATTTTTTCTCTGACATTTTATTTGCAAAATATTCTTCTCCTTTCTATCAAAGCTTACAACTAATCAACTCTGGGTGCTTTTGATTTTTCTGACTGTGCCAGGGCATTGAATGAAGTTCCCTATAGTGAGAAAAGAGAGCACATGAGACTGTGACTTTATGTACTCCAACAATAGAGCTTTTATGACATTGGAGGTGGTTAAAAAAGCTAGAAGTAGCTCTTAAACATGGCATCGATGTGTTGCCTTTTTTTTTTTTTTTGTATTCTCAGAGCTGCCAGGAGTGTATCAGGCCTGTAATTTCCTGTTCTCTGAATCCCCCATCTTTCTGCAGCTCCAAGCTTTGTGTCCCACAGCCTGTGACTCTGTGCTAACAAATCGCTATTGTCCAGTGGGGCGAATGGTGGCTGGAACTAAAGAATTGCTGTCTGGTTTCTATTCAAATCCAGGTAGTGAGATATATGAATGGACTTTTCGAATCGTCATGTGAATAATGTCTGCTCGGCATGAAGGCTCAGAGCCACACTAGGAAAGATTAACTCCTAGGCTGACCACTAACATCCTTTGTGGTAGGAGGTAGAAACATTCCCAAGTATCATTTCATTCACACTTAATTTTCCATTTTATCCTCCAAAAGTAGGGTTAACCATTCAATTATTTGGCTACTTTTCTCCCAAGTTTTAGTGTTTCTGTTGATAATATGGAAGTTTGGGAAAATGCTAAGTTGTTTTTCACTTAGAAACACTGTATTATTTTCTGTCAAAAGTTTTCTACCTTACGTTTATTATGGCATAAAGTTCTCTTTATAGTATACATACAAAAATGAGAAAGAAAGAGCTGCTTTTTCCAAGAAACCAACCCTTGAAACTGCTTTTTAACCAGTGAAGGGAAAAATCCTTTTTGTGTGTGTGTGTGTGCATTCTACTTATTTACATTTTCCCTCCAAAGTCCAAATTTATACAAAGAAAATAGAAACAACTTCAAATGCAGTATACTAACCAAACAAACAAGCCTTATTCAAATTAAGAACCAACTTAAGCATTTGTAAGTATAGCAGAATCAGGATTTTTTTTAAATCAGATTTGGAAGCCAGACTGAAGTCATAATTCTCATTTATCCTTGGGAAATTATTATTTTATCTTTGTCTTGTATACCTGAGAAAATGTCCACAGGCTAGAAGGGCCATGCTTTTTTACACTCCTTCCATATCACAGGTACTATGGAACGGAGAGCCTTTTATGTTTCTTTTTGTCTTAAACTCAGACAGCTTTGTAAGCAGTAGTGTGTAGATTACAAGAGTTAGACAAAAGCAGGCGCGACTGAGAAGAGTTGCGGGGGCGAGGGGGGGGAGCTTGGGGCACTTCCTGTCACTCAACACATTCCAGATCACTAAAAAATTTCCACACCCTCTGCATTCCCTCTTGCCCACCCCAGATCCCAGTATTTTCCGATTCCATATGTTGTGGTATTCATCACACTCCTCTCTATCACTGGGCTCTGGCTAGACTGCTTCAGAGGAGATGCATTCCTTTAGATTGCACAAAGCATAGCTGGGAAAATGGCTGGCAGTTTCAGAATCTAGTCACGATCGCACGCATGAGCACCTCCCACATCCATGCCCCTTCCCCCGCCCCTCCCGCCCCTGCAGCTGGCTGACCTGTCTCACCCACTGCTGGCCTATCGAACGGCCAGGACTGTCTGGTTTGGGCTCATGCCTTTGTCCATGTCTGGCTTAGTTCCTCTCTGTCTACGCTTGCCACTACCCCCACCGCCCCAGGCAGCACAAGTGTTCGGCCACACAAAACTACAGATAGAAAAGGTGGTAAAGACTTCAAACTTTTTTCTCCAGCAGTTTATTCTTTTGTGAATTTCTCCCTTTTTTATCTACTCTGTTTTAAGAAAACAAATACAAAATTAATTATCTAAAGGCAAAGAATGCAAAACAACCTTTGTGTTCCTTATAATAACTGACTTCATAACTCTCTCCAGCTGCGTTATGGGGTGTGTATAAAAAGCTTCTGTTCTGAGAACAAAGGAGCACGTGCAGAAATGAGACTAAAAAAATCCACTGACAGTATTTCACTACACAAATTACTTAAAAGATTTTAGTTAAGCTTCTCAACAGATTCAATGTTAAAATGGTTTTTAGTTTAAAAAAAAAAATTGAAAGTGCTTACCCAGTAAAAGAACCGAAGTAGTCCTGAACTGTTACGTAAGACTTTTTACAGTTGGATCTTTGTCAAAAGGGGGTGGGGGTGATGGGAGAAAGCAGCAACAACAATCAAAAAAGTTCGAGCTGCTGTGGCTAGAGGACAACTTCTGTGTTTCCAGATAGGATTCTTGCTGTAGAAATGGAACTTCCAGCCAGCACAGCATCCTGTCCCGGTAGAGAAATGAGTTTGTCAGTAAAAAAAAAATTAGATACTGGAACCCAGGCTAGACGAGGTATTGAACCGCGCCAGATTTCCTTGCAGCCCTGTCTGCTCAGCTCGCATTGAACTATATATGACCCAGATGATGGACAGAAGCACATTCAGTCATGTGCACTCTGGAAGAAAGCGGATTTGCTGGTCCCTGGCAGTGCAGGGGTTTGTCTTCTGATTGGGCTGTGCCCTGATCAGTGAAATGTGAAGCCCTCACCATTCAGAGGCCATAATTCAGGACTGGCAGTTTGAGTGTCTGGCTGCCTCTAGTCACTGAGAGAGACTTTGAAGGTGTTGCTTTTGTTTGGTGGCATTACCCACCCAGAGGTTCCTTACACCTATGTATTAGTGTCAGGAGCAGTGCTAGTCTTTCTGAAATGCGAGAAGGCAGCTGACTTTGCCTGAATCCTGTCATCTTATTGTTGATGAACTTGGCCCAAACTTAAACCAATTATTTGATGTGAGAATTGTTGTGATCCTAACCAAGGTTTATGTCCACACCACACCCTGGCCTTTATTTTAGGGTTTGATAAGGTAAAAATAAAGGTGTATTTGACTTCCTAGATGATACAAATTGCTCTTAATGAAAATTAGATGGATGGATAGAAGAGAAGTTAAGTTTTGAATTCTGGAGTCTTTGAACATACTAGGAAGAAACCTTATCTCTTATTATCCCCTTTGTGAAGCTGTCACTCTTATCCCAGTCCTTAGTCACATAGGGGACTGCTGGGGGGAAGCTTCCAAAGTATAGACCCCACTGAGCTGTGACATAGCCTTTAATCATGCAAGACAGCCAGAGTCTACTCTCTCCAGTCTGTCTGAACTAGGGTCCTTGGGATTTATTTCCCATCTTTCTGGGCCACTAGGAAACCGGGTCATTGAATAGTACTGTCAGTTGTGACATTTTTGTTTAGTATATAAAAGTTGTTTGGTTTAATGCACATTAGCATGATTTTTTTTTAAATTTCAGGCTGTAAAGTTGTGTTATGGGACCTTGGTACTGATATATGAAATCCACTCCACATGGGCCAGTCATTTTTTCCTGGGGACTTATCTCTTTAGGAATTAGCTTATATAATCCTTAACTGGCTTTTAGACATACAATACTTTATTTTTTGTTTCTTACACTTGTAGAAATAAACCTATAGTCACTGTATAGAAACTGTCTATTTTGCTGTAAATTCTGGGTTTGGATGTTTGTGCATTTGTGGTTTCTTAGGTGTTGACTACATTATACAGGCTCCTGTGTTTGAGGACTGCCCTAAAATTCTGCTCATGTTTTAACCTGGGAAAAGCTGGCTTGATATGCTACCAGATATACAAATGACCAAAGTCAGAGAACGGGATGCATGCCCTCTCTCTTGCTATAAGTCATAGGACAATTATTCTTTTTTAAACTGTGGTAAAATATACATAACATTTGCCGTTTTTACCATTTTTAACTTTACAGTTCTGTAGTATTAAGTACATTCACATTGTTGTACAACCATCACTGCCATCTGTCACCAGAACTTTTTCATCTTTTTCCCCACTTGAAACTCTGTATATAACACTAACTTCCTATTCTTCCCTTCCCTCCAGCTCCTAGCAACCACATTTCTACTTTCTGTCTCTGAATTTGACTACTCAAAATATCTCATATAAGCAGTGCTTGTCTTTTTATGACTGCGTTACTTCCCTTTGCATAATGTCCACTGTACTCCTCCATGCTATACCATGTGTCACAATTTCCTTCCTTTTAAAGGCTGAATAATATTCCATTGTATATATACTACATTTTATTTATCCTTTCATCTGTCCATGAACACTAGTTGCTTCTACCTTTTGGCTGTTAAGACAATCATTCTTGACCATTCCTCTGACAGTCTTATGAGGGCTTCTTTACAGAGCTGCTCTGACCCATCTCGGAAGCTATTCCATTTTATAAGTTGGAAGGGTTTTGATATACCTATCAACTCTAGAGACTAACCAGGACCTAATATCAGGTTTGCTAGAAAAGGGCAGATTTGTTTCAGCCTTCCTGGATGAGATAATACATACTACACTCCTAGTAATTCTTTTATACTTTTTGTTTATGGGTTTATCTTTCCTGTTACACTTTCAGCTCTTCATGGGCAGGGACTGTAGCCGGTTCCTCTTGAATTGTGTCTGTGCCCCTGTGTAGACTCAGGACCTATAATAAAGTAGACATTAATATTAGTTGGAAGAAAGAGAAATGAATGAATAATAATAATTTTTACTGGGTTTTATTATGTACCAGACACTGTGACAGGTATTTTATATACATAAGCTTATCTAATTTTCAAAATAACCCTATGGTATAAGTACTATTACCTTCATTTAACAGATAAAGGCACTTGCCTAAGGCCTCACAGCATGTAGAAGATTTAATGGGGATTTGACCTCTCTTTCAGCTCCAGATCCATTATACTAGAGGCAAATTTCATAGTCTTCATAGGTGATGATCAGTGGGTTTTAGCCTAAGCATTGATTCCAAGTCAAATATTCTTTCAGTGGACATCAGGAGCTATAGCCCTATGATAGATATAGTTCATGAGTAGATACTCAGAGGAAAGCTTGACCCATTAGTAACTTGGACCTTTTGTAGATTTTTAGCTGAACAACTGCTTGTTGAACTCAATTCACAGATATTCCTGTGTATGAAAATTCTTTCTCATATTATTTTGAAAGTGCAGTTAAAGGGCATATACTGGAATGAATGCACTGATGTTCTTCATTTTTCATTTGGCAGATACATACCCACAAACATGTATATAGGTATACATATACCATATGTTTATGGTATATATGTGTGTATGTATATAAGTGAGTGAGTAAAATCTAGGTGCTAAGGAGAGATCAAGAACAAAAGATTTTTTTTTTTTTTTTAAGATTTTATTTATTTATTTGACAGAGAGAGACACAGCGAGAGAGGGAACACAAGCAGGGGGAGTGGGAGAGGGAGAAGCAGGCTTCCTGCGGAGCATGGAGCCTGATGCAGGGCTCCATCCCAGGACCCTGGGATCATGACCTGAGCCGAAGACAGACGCTTAACGACTGAACCACCCAGGGGCCCCAGATTCTTTTTTTTTTTTTTTTTTTAAGATTTTATTTATTTATTTGAGGGAGAGAAAGCGAGAGACAGAGCCTGAGTGGAGGGGGATGGGCAGTTTAGAAGCAGGTTCCCAGCTGAGCAGGGAGCCCTGATGGGGAGCCCATCCCATGACCTGAGCTGAAGGCAGCTGCTTAACTGACTGAGTGACCCAGGCGCCCCCAGAAAAGATTCTTATGGAACTTATAGTCTAGTGAGAAAACAGAAAATAAGTTAACAAGGTAAAATGAAGTAAAACAGAAAAGCATGCCGTGAAGAAAATAAAATAAAGAATCTGAAACTGACCAGCAAAAAGGAACTTTCTCAGTATTTTTAAATAAGGTTGTATTCAGATATTCTTTCTGATTCTAATAAGATTAATTGCTAATATTTGGCCCACATTATTTTTCAAATTCTCAAATACTGTGAAACATACAGAAGATAACATTATACACACTTGATAGTCTCATTTTATAAAGGCCAATGGCTTTCAGTTTTTTTGACCATTTTCCACTCTAAGAAAGATTTTATATTGCAATTCATTTATACACCTATTTGTGTGTATGTATCTACATATGAATATATATATACCTGAAACCATAGTTTCATGAAATAGTACTTATTACATGTAGTGTCATTTTTACTTTAAATGTTATCTGCAAGCCACTAAGTTGGTTTTACAACCCACTGGAGGGGCAACCTGAACTTTGAAAAATGGCTCTGAGAAGTTACGACTTGTCCAGTGTCACATAGCAAGGAAGTGGCAGAGCTAGGACTTGAATCAAAGCTTGATTCTAAAGCCCTTGTTTTTTCTACCACATTATATAGCTTCCCTAGTGATACTAACCTTTAATGAAACTGAATGATAATAAACCACAAATGACCTTTAATAACAATTATATAAAATGTAAATTTCCCAAAGCAGAGGCTACAGAAAGGAGCAAAAATAGTATTCCTCTGATCGTTGCCTCTGCATTTTTCAAAGAGCTGTTGGCCACTTGGAGTTGTCTGTCCATATCTTGAACAGAATGCAGTTGATAGTACTCATTAGTTATGCTGGGAACCTACAGATTTCCAAAGCATTTGTACCTCATTACTCGGCCTAGCCCTGAGTTCATTGTGATTCTTAAAATAATAGCAGTGTAAGACTTAGCTTCTGAGTGTGAGAGTGTGGTCTTCAAAAGTGAGGTGTTGCTGTGCGACTTGGAGTCAGGACTCATATATGGGAAAAGATACCTAGAGTCTGAGTTCAGCCCTGCCCTCTCTGACCTGGCTGTGGTACTGGTTAATTTTGTGCAAAGGAAAAATCATGCCCTCCTTTCTCCCTGGAACACAAGGCTATATCAAAGGGAGAAGGAAAGGGAATTAATACCTTTTGTCTACTGTGAGCCATGCATTGTACTCTGGGCACTTCTGACAGGGGTTTTTAATTCTCAAAACAGTTCTGTGAGGGGAATGGTATTTCCCTATTTTGCAGAAACGAAATGTTGAAAGAGAGGAGAAGTAATTTTTTTTTAAAGATTTTACTTATCTACTTGAGAGAGAGTGAGAGCTAGAGAGAGAGAGAGCACACACACACACACAGAGGAAGAGAGAGAAGCAGATTCCCCGCTGAGCAGGGAGCCCGACCTGGGGCTCTATCCCAGGACTCTGGTATCATGACCTGAGCCAAAGGCAGACGCTTAACTGACTGAAGTACCCAGGCGCCCCGAGAAGAAATGATTCTTAAGAATCACAGTCAGGCAGTGGCTGAGGCTGGTACAGGAACTCCCCTATACCTTAACTTTCCAAATCATACCCTTCACCTTAGAGCTAAATGAGAGCTCCAAGCTAATGAGACTGTGTAGATGGGATATTTGTAGGCCTTGGAAATGAAGAGTTATGTCATAAGATGGAAGCCTGTGAAAACCTAATTGTGTGGAAATAGAGCTGCTTTCTTACTGCTGTGCAATG